TCTATTGGGTTACTGACAGTGGAGCCAGTATTTATCACTAGTGAATGAATGGGATTGGGGAGCCCATTCCCTATGGAGGGATACTCTCTCAGCCTAGATACAGGAGGGAGGGTCTTGGTCCTGCCCCAAATGGTGTGACAGATTTTGATGATTCCCCCATGGGAGACCTCACACTCTCTTGAGGAGTGGATGGTAGGTGGGATGGGGGAGGTGTTGAGGAGAGTGGGAGGACAGGAAGGAGCAGGAACTGGGATTGGTATGTAAAATATATTTATTTTCAATTTAAATAAAGAATTAATAAAAAAGAAAAAGAGTGATTTTTTTTCATTTTCAAAAGGTTGAAAGAAACTAAGGTAACTCAGCCTCTTTCTGCCTTGTTACTAAGGGGAATTACTATTGTTTGAGATGGATCATCCCAAAAGATAGTCTAAAGCCTTAGCTAGAGGCATCCTGATTATGACCTTCTGTAGAATGGACTGTCTTCATAGTAATTTGATAAGGTTACAGGAGCATAGGGTCAGGCTTTATTACATGTAGCTGGCAACTTAAATGAAGAGAAAATATGGATAAAGACATATGGGTAGAATTGCACAAGAAGACCAAAGGACTCTTGGAGCCACTGGATGCTGGAAGAGGTCAGTCAGCAACTTGATTTCAGATTTCTATGCTCTGTAACTGTGGGGCAGTAACTACTTTAAGCCATTTATTTTCTAATCTTTTGTTACAGCATCCATGGGAATCAAATATAGCAGTGCTTTACATAAAGTCAAGTGAACATAAAAATAACTCTTCTCAGGCTTCTGTTGTATACTATCTAAAAATGACTGTTTTCCCCCACATTGCTTCAGTTATTTATCCTGGGATAGAGAACACCAAAGAGGGAACAAGTTGGATGTTTACTTCCTAACAGCAAGCTTTGAAACAGGAAACCTCTTTGGTCTGCTTGTAGGGAGAAACAGTTCTGACCTAGAGCAAAGTGTGCATTGATTCCTGATTGTAGCATGTGTCTCCAGGTTCCCTAGCTCACATACCTAACAATACCTATCTTTCTAGACAATAACAACATGAGACAACATGTGTGCTTAATGTTCTTCTGTGCCTCTGGATGGATATAATACCCGCATCATTTTAAACTGTAAAAGTCAAAATTAGACAGGAGAAAGTTTACATTACATAGTTCTGAAACCTAAGTTTCCTGTAAGCCAATTTGTATCAAAACACTGAAAGATTCATCAGTAAGTGAACATCTCTAGGTAGACACTTCTGGCTAACATATTCTGAAGGACATTTGTTTCCTTAACCTTAATCATATATTATTCTTTCCACACTACACAAAGCAACTATATGTCCTTAGTAAAATCCTGTCATATAAAACAGAGACCATTTTTAGATCTGTTTATAGAATATACTTTTCCATAATCTTAACCAAGTCTGGTTAAGATTAATTTTCAGAGAATACTATGATCTAAATAGTGTTCTCAGAGATGATCCACTAAGTAACAAAGGTCCCAAACTGTCTGTGGTGGAGTAAGCTTTCTTCTTTGTTTAATCTTAACTGAAAGAAATATATGAGATCTTAGAATCATGCTTTTGATTTTATTCACAAGGCAACACTCAACAAATGCATACCTGAAAGATTAGATTATTATTACTGAGCACATTATTTACGTTACGTACTTGTCTTAGTTTGCTTTCTGTTGCTGTTGCAAACACTATGATTGAAAGCAATTTTGGAAAAAAAAAGAGTTTCACTGTGTTATACTTTCATTTTATAATCCATCATGGAGGGAATCCAGGAGGAAATTCAGGAACTGTGGAGGAATGTACTGACAGGCTTATTCTTTCTGACTTTCTCACCTGGGTTTCTTTTTTTAATTGTTTATTTTAAATTTAAATTTAAATTAGAAAAAAGGTTGCTTCACAAGTCAGTCCAGGTCCCTCTCCGTTTCCCTCCCCCTCCTCCCCTGCCTTTCCCCCAAACCCCCCAATATCCCCTCATTTCCCCAGGGAGGGTGAGGCCCTCCATGGGGGTGTCGATAGTCTGTCATTTCATCCAGGGCAGGGCCTAGACCCTCCCCCAAGAGTTCAGGGTAAGAGCTGGATGGGAGTCCAAAGTCCATTTGTATACCCAGGATAAATACTGATCTACTGCTCAAGGCTCAATAGATTGCCTAGGCCTCCTCACTGACACCCACATTCAGGGGGTCTTGATCAGTCCCATGCTGTATTCCCAGGCATCAACCTGGGATTCAAAAGCTAACCCTTGTCAGGTCAGCTGTTTCTGGGGTTTAAAACTTCCTAGGGATGGTTCTACCCATGGTGGCCTGGGCTCTACCACATTAATCAATAATCAAGACTATTCTCCATAGACATCATCACAAGTCAATCTGATCCCGGCAGTTTCTCAGTTGGAGTTTCCTCTTCCCAGTAGGGTCAAGTTGGCAATGAAAACTAAATAGCACAAACTACCCTTTGTCAACTCAACATACAAACATATTAGTGGTGAACCATAACTTTTTATTTGTTTTGCTAAGATCATCAGTGTAAGAACTTTAGAAGTTCTGAGGCCTTTAAAATTTCTATCACTTAAAAGTCCAAGTTCTCTTTTAAAGGTCAAAGTATAATAACTGTATGCATATGCATACATATCTATATTTATATTTGTTTAAATATATATTTAAAGTTGAAAGTATAACTATGGGCTCGTATGTATTTATGTGCATACATACACACACACACACACACATACACACACACACAAAGATACCTACTTTCTTTTATCAAGAATAGAGGAACCAGGTATAGTTACAACCATATCAATCCAAAACTAAAATTTAAGAGTGTAAGTAGCTCAGTGACTAACATCTGAGACCCATTCCTAATCTTCTGGCCCACAGGACACAGGGGTATCCACACTTCTCTAGCTCTGACATCTACAGCACACACCCAGCTTCTCTGGCCAGCTCATGCCTGCTCCATGCTGCACCTGCCACTGTCCTTAGTTGATATTCCATGGTCCTGGCATGTCCAATATCTTGGGATCTGTACTCCAACTGAGGCTTTATCTTCAACCAGTGACTTCTTCTAGCTTCTCACTGGTGACACTGACCTGCCCTGTGATGACAAGCCTCAGGTTTGCTCCATTCCTTCAAACCAGGACTGTTGTGCCCAAATTCTGAGCCCCAAAATCACCAAGAGGCCTGTTTTGATGCAAAAGCAAGGAGTCTTTTATTGTAGATGTTTAACGAGCTAACCCCATTAGCTTGGGCCCTTCATCCCACCACCATGACAAATGGCTGGAGAAAGACCCCAAGCAACCTCAAGGCAGGGATCTTAAAGGGAAACATAAGGGGAGTGTCTAGGGATATGAAACAGTCTCAGGATTGGTGCGCTTCCAGGTTTGGGTGACCTGCCCTGTGTTGATTGGTCAACTGGTTGTTGTGGCCCATAGGCCCGCCCAGGGCGGTTGCTATGCTCTGTACCCCAGAGCCTGAAAGCACAGCTCCCTGCCAGCTAACTTCTGATTGGTTCCTTGCCATGAGGAGAGCATCTGACCTTAGTGACCAGGACAGGAGCAGCAAGGTCATGCAAGCACATGTTAGCCTGTAATAGTTGCTAAAATGAGGGACTGGTCACTACAGGACCATGTGAGGGACTCTTAAATTACATTCACTGTTGTTCACCGCATTGTTCTCAGTGCACCACAGCTTCTAGGTTCTAATCCTAAGGAAATAATTCCCAAAAGATTTGTCTCAAGTATACTGGTCTCTTATGAACACAGCTGATTCTTTGTTCCCCATCTTCCATTGTCCTAATAAAGGCAAGGTTTCACTTTAGTGGTCCTGATCACTCATAGCTGATTCATCAGTCCCTGCTAGACAGCGAACAGAGTCTTAAGCCAAAATGTAATACAATCTGCATGGATAATGTCTTTGCTTTCTTCTGAAAATTCCCAAAGCCAGGCCTCCATCATCTGTATTTCTCTTAATGTTCTTATCTTCTAAGCTTCCACAGGACAGTCTATTTGGCTTCAACCATTCAACAGATTTTTTTTCCAGCCCCAAATTCTAATTGCTACTACACTCCTCTCAAAACCCAGCATGGTTAGATAGTTGCAGCAACAGCCCCCTTCTCCTGATACTAATTTATTTCCTCATTTGCCTTCTGTTGTAGTAAGTACTATGACCAGAGAAACTTGGAAGGAAAGAGTTATTTCATCCTACAGTTCCAGGTCATAACCTATTATTGAGAGAAGTCAGGAATCTGGAGATAGTACCTGAATCAGAGGCCATTAAGGAGTGTTCCTTTCAAGCTTCATGTTTTTCTTGATGGTTTGCTCATCTAGACTTCTTATACAAACCAGGTCCACCTTCATAGGAGTAGTTCTATCTACTGTGAGATGGCCTTCCTACATTAGTCAGTCATGAAGATAGTTTTTCACAGGAATGGCCACAGGTCAATCTGATCTTGGCAATTTCTCTTTGAAGGTTCCCCTTCCCAGATATGTCAAATTGACAATAAGAATAATTCGCACCATAAAATTCTACCATTCCCACTCCAATTGTACATTGTTCTCTATGCCAAGAATCACAGAATAATCGCACTAAGTTGGGAGTAATTTCTGCTATGAAAGAATTACAAGTAGTTTGAAGACATAAGGAAGAAGCATAAATATTGAAAATAATACTCTTGTCATTTGTAATTCCCACCTTTCCAGTTTTGTTTGCTGAGTCAGTGCAGCAGATGATTTGAGAATCTCCAGCCTGATTTGGTTTGGGACTGAGACTTACTTCCTGGGGTAAAAGACTTGCAATCTAAGTTCAAGCATTCCTCATCCATAAATTCATCCTGAGATGTAACATAATCAACAGTATCTTTTATATTAATACAAACACGTAATTCTTTTAGATCACCATGGCAATTTTTAGAATATAGAATCATGCCTGTAACAAAATTTCTGGATGCATCTTCAGCCACCATTTCATCATAAAGGGGTCTGGAAGAAAGATGTCTCTAAGAGAAGGCTATCAGCTCTCATTCTAGAAGCATGAGGTCACGGGACCCAGAGACTGTTCGAGATGCTCAGCAACAAAGTGAACAGGATTCATAGTGCATCTATTTATGCAGCTAACATGGTGAGCTTCTGTGGGTATGTTTTTCTTGGTTGGTGTTTATAAAGCAAGTTGTTATGAATGTTTATTAACTCAAGAGTTGTTTTAATGCTTGTGTTGTGGTGGTCATTGCCTTTGAAAATTATTTCTAAAGATCCCTTGAAAGCCTGAGGTAACTGTTGCATTTTGAAGAGGATATTTTCTATAGCTTCTGGCACTAGACATACTACTAGTTTGAGATTATATTGATAAAAATTAAAGCTTGAGGTGGGTTCCCCATTTTCCCAGATGATAGAAAAATTGATGCCTGATTCAGAGCATCTATGGGTATAGAGCTCTTAGCTCTCAAGTTAAATTAAAGGAGGATTTATGTTGAAGGATACTACAGTTAAAGAATGAAATCCGCCATGTCCATACAGCTCTCTCCAAGCAGAGTTCAAGATGGGAGGACTCCCTTGCCACAGGCTCCCTGCCTGACCTTATTTGAAGACTGACCCTGAGCTTGGGTGCTTGGCTTATCTCAGGCATGACCCTTGACACAGTTCCCTGCAGACACTTCCCCCTGCTGCCATACATGGTAATTAGGCTTTGTACTCTGACTGCTATGATAGAGGCATGCCATTAAATACAAATTAGGTGATGCTCCAGCCACTGTCCTTATCTTTTCTATCTCCCCTTACTCTGGAATAGTCTCACTGAAGTTGTCTCCTGTGATAGGCCTTTTCCTGTAGGCCACCAACCAGCTCCCAAATCCTGACAGACTTATTATTAGTTCTGAATGTTCTACTTGAGCTTAGCCCCTTTTTTGGCTGGCTTTTTTTTTAACTTGAACTAACCTGTTTCTCTTCATCCACCTTTTGCCTTAGGGTTTATTATTATTATTATTATTTATTTTTAAGTTTAAATTTAGATTAGAAACAAGGTTGCTTCACAAGTCAGTTCCAGGTCCCTCTCCCTTTCCCTCCCCTCCTCCCGTGCCCTCCCCTCAACCCCCCCATTATCCTCTCATTTCCCCAGGGAGGGTGAAGCCCTCCATGGGGTTGTCCATAGTCTACCATTTCATCCAGGGAAGGGTCTAGACCCTCCCTCAAGAGTTCAGGGTGAGAGTACATCTCACATTGTTGGATAGGAGTCCAAAGTCCATGTGTATACTCAGGATGAATACTGATCTACTGCCCAAGGCTCAATAGCTTACCTAGGCCTCCTCACTGACACCAACATTCAGGGGGTCTTGATCAGACCCATGCTGGATTCCCAGGCTGATGCATGGGATTCAAGAGTTAACCTTTGTCAGGTCAGCTGTTTCTGGGAGTTAAACCAGCCCAGTCTTAATCCCTTTGGTCATCAGTCCTCCCTTTCTGTTACTGGCTTTCTTGAGTTCAGCTCACTACTTAACCGAGGGAGTGTGCCTCTTCAGCCACTGAATGAAGTTTCTGTTTCCAAGACTCTCTGGCCATGGGATTGTAGGCTGGCACTCCCCAGATCTATGTCTAAAATCCATATATGAGAGAGTACATGCAATGTTTCTCTTTTTGTGACTGGGTTACCTCGTCAGGATGGTTTCTTCTAGTGTCATCCATTTGCCTGCGAATCTCAGGATTCCATTGTTTTTTCTGCTGAATAATACTCCATTGTGTAAATATACCACATTTTCTCTATCCACTCTTTGGTTGAGGGGCATCTAGGTTGCTTCCAAGTTCTGGCTATTACAAATAATGCTGCTATGAACATAGTGGAACAGACATCCTTGTTGTATGAATGGGCATCTTTTGGATATATGCCTAAGAGTGGAGTTGCTGGGTCTTGTGGTAGGCTTATTCCCATTTTTCTGAGGAATCTCCATACTGATTTCCAAAGTGGCTGAACAAGTTGGCACTCCCACCAGCAATGGAGGAGTGTTCCCCTTTCACCACATCCTCTCCAGCATAAATTGTCATTGGTGTTTTTGACTTTAGCCATTCTAACAGGAGTGAGATGGTATCTCAGAGTTGTTTTGATTTGCATTTCCTGGATGGCTAAGGATGTTGAGCACTTTCTCAAGTGCCTCTCAGCCATTTTAGACTCCTCTATTGAGAATTCTCTATTTAGTTCTGCAGCCCACTTTTTTTTAATAGGGTCCTTTGGTGTTTTGGAGACTTGCTTCTTGAGTTCTTTGTAAATTTTGGAGATCAACCCTCTGTCAGATGTGGGATTAGTGAATATTTTTTCCCATTCTGTGGGCTGCCTTTTTGTCTTGCTGACTGTGTCCTTTGCCTAACAGAAGCTTCTCAGTTTCAGTAGGTCCCATTTATTAATTGTTGATCTCATTTTCTGTGCTAGTAGTGTTATGTTCAGGAAGCTGTCTCCTGTACCAATTCATTCAAGGGTACCACCCACTTTCTCTTCTAAGAGGTTCAGTGTGGCTGGATTTATGTTGAGGTCTTTGATCCATTTGGAGTTAAGTTTTGTGCATGGCGATAAACATGGATCGATCCGCATTCTTCTACATGCCAGCCTCCAGTTATGCCAGCTCCATTTGTTGAAGATGCTTTCTTTATTCCATTGTATATTTTTAGCTTCTTTATCAAAGATCAGATGTTCATAAGTGTATGGGTTAATATCAGGGTTTTCAATTCGATTCCATTGGTCTACCTGTCTATTTTTGTGCCAATACCAAGCTGTTTTCAGGACTATAGCTCTATAATAGAGCTTGATGTCAGGGATGGTGATGCCTTGTTGAACAGGGTTGTTTTGGCTATCCTGGGCCTTTTGTTTTCCCACACAAAATTGATTATTGTTCTTTCAAGGTCTGTGAAGAATTGTGCTGGGATTTTAATGGGGATTGCACTGAATCTGTAGATTGGTTTTGGCAGGATTGCCATTTTTACTACATTGATCCTACCTATCCAAGAGCATGGGAAATCTTTCCATTTTCTGAGGGCTTCTTTAATTTCTTTCTTTAAAGATTCAAAGTTCTTAGGATACATAAGGCATACAAGAAACAACATAAAGTGCCTTACATTTTTTTAACTTGATTACTTCTGTATATCTTACTTTTACTGCTTATCTATATCTGACTGACTGACCTCTGCTTGGTTTCTTGTTCCAGTAGTGCCACTCATTCTCTGCTCCTTGTTTTCTTGCTCCTCCTTCTTCCTTGAGCTTAGATCTATTTATTTGTAATATTTGCTTATTTATAATAAATCCTCCTATTTATTCTCTCTGCCTTTCAGCCTTCCCTATATTTTCTTCCACATGGTTATTGGTCATTCAGCTTTTTATTAAACTACTTAGGTGCCTTAGACAGGCAAGGTGAAAGAAATGCAACACATCTTTTCAGAATGAAACAAATGCAGGTAAAATAATACTCTGTGACATAAACAAATGTAACACGTCCTTGCCTAGCTAAAAATAGTATTCTGCAACAGCCTCCTGTATGCTGTTTCCCTCACATCCACAAGCCCTCTGAACCCTGCTTCATGCTTCTGCTCCCTCCTCTCTTGTAAACCAGTGGCCACGATAGAGACCCATGGCTGATTCTCCTTTTAAAATGGTTTCTGCAGCTTTCCTGGTTCTTCCCAAAAAGTAATGACAATTCTACTTAACACAGTGGCTGTTCTTTTGCTGAGTAAAGACTGCAGGAGGAGAGTCTTCAGTAACAGTGTCATATGTCTGGAATGTTGCCATTTTTTTGCCAATTTCAGACACATAATTGTTTTCTTTCTCTTCAGTACCTTAAAAATATATATATACATATATATTTATACACATGCGTTAGCAAATATACATATATCAGTAATTTATATAATTTATTCTTATTGAGGTTAGCTCAAATTATTTGCCTTTCTACAAAGCATGCAACTTCATATTAGGGTTTTCTCTTGTCACTAGTGATATTTTGCTCTACATAATAAGGCACAATAACATGCCTTGTAGACATGTAGTAGTACTATTCTATGAAAATAACACACCTGCTGCCAGTCATCTTGTTCACAACTCTCTTTACATCTTTCCAATACCCCTAGAGAACCAAGATTAGGGTTTTAGTATACAACCATGGTTCTGAATGATTGACATTTGTGAAAAAGTTTGTAGTGTATTGTGAATTAAGAATAATTAGGCTTCAGCTTATGTGCTTTAGGTTTCAGATTTGTCATATTGATAAGCAAGGCCTTTAAAATCCAGTAGGAAATTACTGAACAATGAGATAGAGTTGAAAGTATCCTGAGTTTAGAATCAAATAAACTGGGATTCTGAATCTATGCCAACTGCTTGCTTTGATAGGTTACAAGTCTCATGGCCTCAGCAAAGTTAACCACAGCCTTCATTCTTGCTTTCTACTTCTGCCCTTCTGATCTCTCAAAGGGTTGTTTGTAAGTTCTTTCTTGTTTGGTTTAATTACTTATTAAGACCATCATGAGAACATAAAACTAACTTTCTTTTTCAGGGACTTTCTCAAGAGTAGACTTTGTTATTGATGGTTTTGTTGCTAATTTGGTGAGACAATCTATTGAATTAAGCACATCAAATTAGATACTATTTAGTTTCTATTCTTAGAGTATTATAAACTGAAGTCACCATGAAGAGAAAAGCCACATCTATGCTAAACATTCTGTAAGGCTGAATAATTTATTTGCATTCTGTGGTTGTATAGAGTAAGAATATTGCTGATTCAGCATGAAGTTATCTTAAACCACTTGTAGTCCTTCGGCAACCATCTGTTTACCACCCCTCCATTGGATCTAATACCATTTTTACATAAGGCAAAACCTTTAAAATGTGTTTTTAGCAGATCAATATCTTCCACCAAAGCATTTATTGTGTTTTAATTCTTTGTTATAATCTTACCTAAGGTTCCCAGTTATACAACTGGTAAATTCCTTGATTTATGCCCTTTTGTTGTTGTTGCTGATCAGTAACTAACAAAATTTCATGTAACCAATTCCACAGTGGAACGTTGCTTCAGCGTTATTTGGGGCAATCTGAATCATTTTCCCCAGGGCACAGTCTCTCATAGTTGGCTCAGAAAAAACTTTTTTATTCCCTTTGAAGTGAGAATTGTGTTTCTTTATTTTAAGTCTCCACTGTAAAACTAAATTTCAATATTACTTTAAAAATATTTTACAGGTTGAAAACTAGAAAACATTTACACAAACCTAGAAATAGTCTATCATGTTTCAGCTGTTGCTTTTGGTTTGTATTTACCTCTTACTGTGTGCACATTATTTAGGTAGAAAAATTGGGGCATTTTTTGTCATAAGAAAAAAATCCTTAGAATTTTTGTTGTATAATTTTCATTCTTCTTATTAATTTACATCAGACACATCAGTTTCTTCTTTATAAGTTGCCAGATCCAATAACATTTTGTTAAGACTGTTTTTATAACAAAAGACTGAAGCAATACTACTCCTATTTCACACATGTAAGAATCCTCAAGTATTTTAAAGAACATGCATCCATATTCATGCAGCTAAAAGTAAATAGTCCAAGCTCTCTTGCATCAGAGCCAGTTACTTGAACACATCATTATGCTGACAGCCAACAATAGGAAGAGGAATAAAGACTCAAAGGACATTGGCAGATAGTGCAGTATGCAGGGGCATAAAAGGGGAAGTAATATTGGGGAAAGACAGAGACTTAGAATATGAAAACCCGAAGATGATTAAAACATGGAAAAAGAATGAAAATAAGTCAGGATTCCTAAGATTATAAATGATTCATGATGTTTATCAGATTAAATGAAACATCTTTGTTTTTAATTCAGTAGAACCCACCACAACATCGTGCTTATATACAGAGTTATAAATGGTACCTAGTGCCCATGAAGAGTTTAACTATTGGGAAACAAACCTCCCTTAGACACAGAGACAGCCATCTTAATCATCAGATTGTTCTAGCATTTGGACACTTACAGAACCAGGGAATTATAGTTTTTAGCTTCTACTGAGTACAGGAATGCCCTATGGCCATTTTGTCTCAGTAACAAGCATAGATCTTGGATCATAGATCTTAGATAGAAAAGACCTTTGAGACTCAGAGGTGGATTTTCCTGGGAGGCCAAAAGAAGTAATGAACACTATTACATGAAGACTCTATAGACCATACTTCAACAAATAATGCTTAGCAATGTCTAACACTCTGGATTGTACCTGTCAAGGAAAGATTAAGTACACCCTAAACCATTTCAGATTAGCTTCCGTTTAGCCATCAGATCTATTCTTCCTCTCAGTCAGTAACAAACACTTTCTCCTAAGAATTGAGATAGAATCAGTGATGGGCAGGAAAAGGTGTGAGCATTGTTGAGTTAGTATAATTTCCCCCTCATGGTAGCTATGTGTTCTAAATAGTATAGTTTTGAACAATCTGGTGATATTCACAATTGATGTTAAATGGAGTATGTAGGCTTCTAATAGAGCCATAATTAGGCTTTTTAAAGAAAATTTATATGTGTTTTGATATGATAAATCACTTGCTGTAATGATTTGAACCAATTGCAGTTTTTGTAAACAATATATTAACCACATAGTCCTTTTGTGTTCTGAAGGACTCTGAGAGCTGCCAGTTTAGCAGCCACAAAGACACACAGCAATTCTTGTGGGATCTAGCACACCAACACTTTCTGTCTGGGAAGCCCACAATGATAAAAGAAGAAGAAAAACCAAGTCCGGGGTCTGTCTTGGAAATTCATGGTAAGGAGTCTTTGGGCTGCTTGCTTCATTTCTATTTTCCTCTCTGTTTTATAACTTGGTAAATACAGCAGTATGGTCAGTCTTACTGAGGGATTTGGACAGGGAATGGTACATTGTATGAGTCTGCTAAAAGGTAAATAAGTAAAAAAAAAAGGTAAATGAAAATCAGGTCAACACGTGTCTGTTTTATTGTTCTAAGGAATACAAGAGAGGGTTGGTGGATCAGCGCATGCCCAAGTCTTGTTTGTGCTCTTCCAATAATCTGATAGCAACTGAACTTCAAGAAAAGAAGAAGGAAGTGGTAGTAAAAACATGGTGTGAGAAGACATGCAAATAAAGAGTAGAGATAGTGAGGAATTCGTTCCTGAATTGAGCCACTTCTGAGTGCAACGCTGTATGTGTTTTCCATTGCCCTGTAGCTTCACTGACATCCTTGCATGGCCTTATTGCCTCTTTCCCTGCCTCTTTAAGGATTTAGGGTGCTATGACTCACAGTTCATAACACCATTCTGCCACACTGTGTCATCAAATTGAGCTCCTGATTCTTGGAGCAATTCCACAGGCTGCTGATGAGGACAGCAAAAGAAAGGTGTCCCATGGATTCAGTTACCCTCCAGTTGCCACTTGAGCTTAGCTTCCAACAGCGGATGGTGGCCTTTCTCCACTGGCTGTGAAGAACTGTTAGAAGATTATTAGAGATTTTTGTCTTTCCTTGTACTTCAGGTCCTGCATGTTACCAAGGGACATGGTGGGAAAACTCATTGTTGAGACAACTTGTTTCAAAATAAATGGGGGCATATTTTTTTCATAACTAGGTTCTTGGGCTAGAGCCAGTATCTAGAAAGTGAGAAATGGTATAAAATAAGACTGATGCTTATCACAGAGAGCACAGCTTTAAAGTCTTATTACAATGTGTGCAAACCATACAGTTCACAGGCATGTATGTGTTATCAGAATAATCTGCTTGAATATACACACAGAATGACATCTTCACCATATTCTGAAATCAGTAATGTTATAGGGCAGTGGTTCTCAGCCTGTGGGTTGAGACCCCCTGGGTAAGTGGCTCTTTCTCAGGGGTCACATATCGCATATCCTGCATATCAGTATTTACATTACAACTTATAACAGTAGCATGATTCCATTTATGACCTAAGTACAAAAAAATAATTTCACAGTCATGGGTCACAGCAACATGAGGAACTGTATTAAAGGGTCACACCATTAGAAAGGCTGAGAATCACAGTTACAGACTATCTTAGAAGCCTGTTTATCTCTTGCTGACTATCCAATATAACGATACTCGAGGCTATATAGGGAAAAACAATATATTTATTTATCAGGGAGAGAGAGAGTCGCACATACCAGGAGTTAGAAGCATGGCTGGCTTCCAGGAAAAAAGAGGGAGGCCCCTTTTCCTTTCACTACCTTTTATCTCTACCTTGACCCCACCCTGTTGGGCGGGTAGCTTTGTGGGGTTCACTCCTACAATCCAATCCAGAATGCAGGTGTGTTTCAGTTAAGTGAAAGGGATGAATGAAGAACACTCAAAGGAAACTTGGAGTAGTATCTAAGTTCAATTTACTGCAATTTAAGTCAAAAGATTTACAGAGCACTTGAAAACTAGTTTTAAAATAAAATTGAAATCAATAGGTTAAACATAGTTATTGACTGTTCCCCTTTTAAAATTCATCCAGTGCTAACTTTTCACAAAATTTCCATAAAATACTTAATTTATTGTTTAAATTGTACTCTTCCATGTCAACATCTATTCAACGTTGTTAGTCTACCCAGTGTTAAGTGACTCACTGAACTTTATGTAAGTCTTGCTTTATTACTTTTGGATTTCCTGATCCAAGAATATTCTGCCTGTTCAATATTTTGGTTACTTAGTTAGATGCAGGGAGAAAACAGTATTATCTTGAAAAACCTCTCAATTTCTCTTAGAAAACAAATACCTATTGCCATGGAGAAGTAGAAGGGAACTTCTCAAAGATCATTGAAGATAAACAAGATTTTTCATTAAAGAAATAGGTCTTTCACATAGAATTAAATAGAAAACATTGAAAGATACTTTGATTATGTAATAAGGGAATTGTACCTTCTATAATTTTTAAAGTAAATTTTAATTTTAACTTCTGTAACTTTTCTCTTTTAATAACCTGAAAAGGTCATGGGATGGTGTGATAACACATGTTACTGTAGAATATAAACCAATGATTTTTCTAACTACAATAACTTTTGAGTTGGAAAAAGGGCAATTTTACTTTTATGAGCTCTTTGTGTTTATATACCTTAATAAATCATAATTAAAAATAGTCAGTTGTGAACTTGAACCTTGCATATTTAAGTTAAAAATTCTTAGCTTGTAATATATCACAGAACATAAGGCACTGTGTGTGTGTGTGTGTGTGTGTGTGTGTGTGTGTGTGTGTGTGTGTGTATGCATAGTACTCTTTTCAAGACCTTTGGCTGATTTGTTCCACTTCATAGCAGAATTAAATATTTTCCTCTAAGTTAACAAAGTCAAATTCAAGGTCTTCCTAGCACTACTTGGGAAAGTGCCAAACATAGCAGCATGCTGTTCTTGTCAGGTACAACTCCATCACTTTCTTAAGAAAGAGGAAGATTTGTAGAATATGCCAGAGGTAAATAGAGCAAACTCTTCATATATAATGTTGAACCATAAGCACATTGTACATGTATCTTTTTTACAGCCACTGGAAAAAGATGACAGGACTGAAACTTGTGTGCAAATCTTGGTGGAAAAGGCTTATATCTTGCCAGTCAACACTCAGAGAGAATTGAGGACTTTTGAGGCTACATCTCAGATAAGCACAACAGTGAACTGTGTAATGTCAACTTGATCTTTTCTCTTGCAGCTAACAAAGTGTAGTCCAGACATGCCAGTCAACTTTCTAATGTGAATTCTCATTATGTTACTGTCAAACTTTACAGCTCATCTTAGGATGTGGGCTCATTATTTTTGGATTGGTTATACAGTGTTTAAATATCTTCATCATCATTCAGAGTATCAGATTTTTTGGGGGGGGGTATAAACTGAATCATGTGTCAATCAACTATCAACTTAGGAAATGTTCTTAAGTTAAAAGTCAAACTGAAGGAATCAATATTGCTTTCTTATTGTCATAGCTTCCTTTGTCCTTGCACTGCTCACAAAAGCAGAAAGCTCTGAACAAACACCCTGATTACTTATTCTTGAAATGGGTTGTTTCTTTTTTTAAATAATAATATTCTCTCTTGTATTGCTTCCCTGCACCAATACTTGTCTAAAAAGTGGTTCTGAACAAATGGGCATTTAATCTGTCAAAAAAGTCTCCTGATAAACACCCTTCACAGTTACCCATTTAGCCCATGTGGGTTTATTTGTAACATTTCTTTTATTATATTATATTGCATAGGCATTGTCTAAACATAAGCCAATGATAATTATATGTAATTATCTGAGAGAAATGTTTTTAAATAAACAATTATCCCTAGGATCTAATTTCAAACACTCAAATGAATGTACACCCATAAACTTTTGAATAGTGATGCTGAAATATTCAAAGTTGTCATTTATACAACCTCCACAATAGGAGTTACTTTGAGGAAGTAGCTAACAGCGCTAACTAACAACGGAGCAAGAAGGGCAAGAACCGTGTACGTGCTCTTCTCAATCAATGCACAGGACTTGACTCAAGGAGATACGGCCAATAGTTTCATTTTATTAATCACAGGAGTGTCTGCTACACCTGGCTCAGTCCCAGATATCCTACTCCAGGGAGACTAAGCACTGTAGGGTAAGTTATTCCTGCTCAAGTGTCCTCAGTGACGTCTATGAACAAATCCAGATTTCTCATCTTGGGTGCTGTAATTCCTTTCCTATTCACACAAGGACAATTTTGGCAGGAGAGTTAACAATAGGATAGATTTTAGCTAAGGACAAGGTTTATTGGACTGTTCCAGGCAATTCCTTAAAAATTGTATGTATTTCCAACTTGGATTCTTGTTTATCATAGCTGGATACCACAAATTAACATTTTTCTCTTTATAACTGAATTGTTTCTCATGCTCACTAAAGGGACAAAGTCTGACTAACATGCTTCTTAGAACTGGCAGCATGAATTTCAACATAAGGCAAAGTGACTGAATAGCAGGCACTGTCGCTAATTCACCATATTGGAATTGGATAACACACACCCTGATTTCCCTGTGTCAAGAATCTAAGCTGAACTGGACATCATGGACTGACAGCGTACAGGAGAAATATACTGAAAATCTAAAGGGAAGTGAACAAACTCTATTTAAAAACTTCCATTTTGGTTTTATTTGAAGGAGAGCCATTGGATTAATCATTTAAACAACTCTTTTGACACAAAGTACATATAAAATCTATATATTTTACATAGTGGAATATCATGCTTGACATCCAAATAGCCTATCACTCCAGGTCTTCCAACCCTACTTGTGTTTTCTCTCTCCCCCCCCCTCTCTGTCACACATGCACACACACACACATCTATTCCTTCTATTTTTCTCAGACTCACCTGTTCTTCTCCCTTCTCTATAGAAAGTGATCTCCTGCTTAATTTCTTTGTTTCCATTTCATGCTGCTTGGTTTCTATCCAAAGGTAGGTGGTGGTGCACACCTCTATTCTCAGCACTTGCAAGCTGAGTAGAGCAGAATTTTTTTTTGCTCAAATACTGTCATTAAAATATATGACAAGATCAAACAACTTCAAACGACCAGTGATTTTCCAACCCAGTCAGCTTTTGTTCTAGCTGCTGCACACACCTTAAAGAGCTTGTCCTGTCCTAAGGACAATACTACTTATGTTCTCTTGTTAGTTCCCATTTCACCTTTCCCGTCCTGTGTTCTTCTCGCTGTCTCCCTCACCATTTTTGCCCTCTATCAACTCACACATTTCTGTCTAACTGACCATCCTGATATCACACAAGTTTGCACATGTTATTCCCTAAGGAGTCTCAAA